GGAAAAGCAGAGTTTAAAAATAGAAACTTGGGGCTGCCAGCATTTACGCTGATGCCCGAACTATTCAGAAAACACATCTTGCTGTAAATAAGGGAAAACCATTTAAACGCGAGGGTTGCTGCATCCTTGTGATATTTTCCAAACTTTGCTCAGACTATTTCGCAATAGGCTGTTAATATGAAAGGTCTCTTGCTATGGGGTCTTCTTATGCCTTTGCTGGAAGGCAACTTAAGCCCTCCATCCAAACCTCAGCAATTATGGAAGGGATTTCTTAGGTGCACGTCGTTGCAGTGTTGTTTATATATATAGACAGAATAAGAGAGCTGTTTATGTTCATGAAAATTATATATATATATATATATATATATATATATATATATATATATATAAAATTTTCATGAACATAAACAGCTGTATTTCTCTTTCTCTCTCTGTAGTTGTTTGTGTTAATGGAAATTATGTGTGTGTGTGTGTGTATATATATATATATATATAGAAACAACACTGCAATGTGCACTTAAGAAATCCCTTCCATATAGTTGTTTGTGTTGATATATGTGTGTGTGTGTGTATATCAACATAACAAAACACACACACACATACTCCTTGTGATGTAATATTTGTTGGTTTAAATTCTTCTTTTTTAAAAGTATGCGTCTTGTCACGCAGTGTTGTTTCAAAATGGAAATGGACGACACAAATTAAAAAGAACCCTGGAATCATTATTATTATTATTATTAAAAAGAAAATAAAAGAAAAAACCGGAAACTTCATCCCGTTACTTTGGCAAGGAGGTCGGGCAGAGGGGGGTAGAAGAGGGATATAGACCCGGCAATTGCCCTCGACTGTGGGAACATGGTTAGGAAACCTGGTAAAATTATATTTTTAAAAAAAGGGAAAGAGAGGAGAGGAGAGGAGAGGGAAGCTTAACAACTACTGTCCTTACAAACCCTTACAAATAAACCCCGACCCTACTAAAACCAAGGCACCTGAGCAAAGCCCCTCTGGGAGCACTTTCCTTTCCTCACAAAAACAC